TCAGGTGTAATATAAAATAAATGTAAAAATATTAAAATCACTTATAACTCTAAATCAATATATGAAATAGTCTTCTGCACACTAATAAAAAATTTTCCTTATAAAATTTTAGTATAGATAAAGTTTTTTAATCATGTCAAAATACTAACTCTAATCTAGAGATGCAGTAGAATCATCCTAATAATAGTTGTTATATTGCATTACATTACTGTAACTTGCTATAACTATATATAGCAAAGTAATATAGTAAGTTATGATTATAATGCTATAATTTACTATACTATTTTACTATAGTTATAGCAATGTAATGCAATGTAATGACTATCATTAGGATGACTCTACTATGTGAATTTTTTTACTTGAAACTTTTTGAATAATTGTTACAGCCAATCAGAAATGACAGAAAAATTAGGAATCAATATAGAAAATCATCAAACTAACTATGTTGATCAATTATATAATTAAAGAATAAGTTATAATGCTATAATGAGGCATTACAAAATAAGCTATAGAATAAGCTTACAGAATAAGCTATAGAATAAGTTATAATAATATATTACAGAATAAGCTATAGAATAAGCTATGATGATGTATTACTATGATGATATATTACTATGATGATGTTATGCATAAAAAAAGTCTAAGTCTAATGTTTAATAATATAATATACTCAAAAATAAGTAATACAGTTATATAAACTTATCATTGTATAATTAAGTTAATTTATAATGTATATAAAATTAATCGTTTATTAGTTATAAATATAATATAAATACAGTATATTAGATACCTTTTTTTAAAAAGACAAGTATGGAATTCTTAGAAGAATTTTTTTATAAAGTTATTTTCTACGAAGAACCTAGAAATATTCCACTGAACATTGTACAAAAAAAAACATTTGTATGATATGCAAAAATGTTATTGATCCAAGTCTTAAAGACTCAGTTACAATTTTAAGCTGTAAACATTTTTATCATAAAGAATGCATTGGTGATATGTGTCTGCTGTGTTAAGAACAAACTAATAGGATTGAAAATGCATTGATTTATCATCAAGAAAGTAGCTGTTCCATTAACTCATTATTGAATTTAGAATGTGCTAACATTTCTACTTCACTTACTGAATTTACCAAACCCATATTTACTAAATCCATTGAACTTACTAAACCTACATTTACTGAATTCACTGAACTCATATTTACTGAATTCGCTGAACCCACATTTACTAAATCTACTAAATCAATCAAACTTATTGAATCTATTGAATCTACAGAATCTAACAGTATGCTTGTTAAATTTACTGAACTTACCACCTCTTTTATATCAGTTGAATATACTGAATCTATTGCTTCTGTAGATTCTACGGATTTCACTTCTATACTTATTGAGTCAATTAAATATGCTGAGGCATCTAAGTCTACTAAATTTAAAACAACCAAATCAAAAGCAATATTTAAAAAAACACAAATGATTCAGTTATTAAAAGAACTAAACATGCCTGTTAGGAGAGAATGTGAAAATAATAGCAGTAACAACAATAATATTAACATTAATAATAATAATAATAACAGTAATAATGTATTACCACTAATTCAACTTTATACAAATATAATTTATACTGAAAGTAATGCAACTAAGGCAAATCAAATAGTAATTAGAAGTTGGTATGAATTTGTAAATGAGCTTGATAAACAAATTAATCAAATATTAAGAAATCAAAAAAAATCTAAACATAAAAGTTCTAAAAAATCAGCAACATCTGAAGTATATAATAAACTTTTAAACTATTTTACTGATATAATCCGTGTTGCTTTAAGAAAAAGGGTGAAAAAGGTAAATAAGGTTTATACCTTATTTAAGAGAATAAGTATCAATAAAATTGAAAGAGTTAGTACTTTTAGTGCTGACCAAATTTCAGAATTTAATATATCACAAATTGAATATATTATTAATAATGTAACTATATAATTTTAATTTGATTAATTGCAAAATATCTAGTAATTAATTGCTTATATAAATTTGTTATGTTTTGGTAAAGTTAATTTTAATTTTAAACCTTTAAATTTTTATATAATAAATTCTAAAACCTAATTCTCAATATTTTTTATAACATAAAAGATAAAATATATTAATAAAAAGTTAATTTATATTGAACTAATAGATTATATAGTGTTAGATGCTTATAATAGTGATGGGCCACACATAGAGGTTGGAACTAATTTTATAATTCAGGTTTATCATGTAAATTTTGGAAATTTATCCAATTAAATTTTAATAAATTTCAAAATATTACAAAATTTATATGATAAATCTGAATTATTAAAACCAGATCCAGCCTCTAGCCATGCATATGGGACTAGCAATGTCAGTCTAAAAATTTCACTATTATGTAATCCCATTAAAAAAAATTTTGCTAAAAAACATTTACTCTTAGGTTAGGTCGCTAGTGAGTTAGTTGGATTCAAAGGACTATAGTTATACTAAAATTTTGTAAAAAAAACTTTTTTTTATTAGTATGTAGAAGGCAGTTGCATAGGCAAAATGTTGAGTTATAGGTGATTTTTAACTTATTTTTTTTTCACATTACATCTAATCTTGAAATCTGATTGGCTAGAGAAATTTTTTAGACTGGTATTTTAAATACTATTGGCCATACACAGAATTTTTTAATATAAGATTATTTGGCTTACATTAGCATTAGTGCTCCAATCAGATTGATCTGAATGACTTGAAACCAACCTAGTTATAATAAATTTATTAGATGGGTCATAATCTATATAGTAAATTTATTATAACCGGGTTGGTTTTGAGTTATTCAGGTCAATCAGATTGAAGCACTAGATGACAAAATTAATTTCATAAATGTCACTATTTATAGTTTTATTTTATAGTACATGGGTATAAAGAATATTTATTAATCTAAATATTTAATATGTAAGTATAAAGAATATTTATTTAATTCTATTTATGACAATTGATTGTAATCTTAGTATTTAGCATAAATTATTCAGATCTATAAATATTTACTACTTTATTTATTCACAATAATTTAGTGCATTAATATGAAAAGCATTTATTGTTTGAAATAAGCAAGTTCATAATACTTTAGAAATTGTACTTGTTAAAAAAATTTTTTACCCAGATAATATTAAATTACCTGGTTATTCAGATAACTTATTATGGCTATATAATAAAATTATCTACTCGAGTACAATATCTATGATATTTATTGCTTGATTTCATTTTATTTAAATAATATTAACATAAAATAAATTATTCAAATATTAACTATTTATAATTTTATTTTAGATTGCATTGTATAAAGAACAATTAATAAGCTATTCAATTTTGGTAATGATATATATAGCCTGTAAGTATAAAAACATTTATTTACCTAATTATTTAAAATAAACTAAGGTTTATTAGTCTTTACTATATCTAAATATTGTATAAATAAGTGAAAAATAGATATAACAATCTAATTTTAACTAAATGCTAATAATTTTAAAGTTCTGATATATGCATTGTAGTAAGACAGTATTAATAAAATATAATATTACATATGTGATGTTGATATAAAAATTCAAAGATGGATAGTGATGTTATTGGCTCATTTGACTTTAAATGGATTTTATAATATATAGTTAAATATACAAGCCAAGCTAATCTCTAAAGATAAATAAATAGAATAGAGCAATTGATAAAGATCTTAATGCATAATCGAATGGATATATCTTTGGATAGAATATATATTAAATCTGGTTTGACTAAATTAACCAATTTTATATTATACATTACTAGGATCTACTGAGTTGTTTAAGCAACCTAATGAATTTATAGACAGGTGACAAACAAGAGCCTAGATCCAATCTTTAATAATTTTTGTTTATACAATATGCCTTATTTTATATCTGAAATCCATTCAGAATTTTTTCTTACTTATTGTCTGGACTTAAGTTCTTTTGCTCTGCTTCAGAATTAAATGCAATAAGATTTATAAGAAACAATTATTTAAAATATATTATTTTAACAAGAAATTATATTTCTAGTAATAATCTTTATATGTATTTTTATATTTCATAAAAAATTAAAACACTACTAATCCAATCGTAAAGGTCCTTCACAATCGTCACATAATTATATATTATAAATAATTTTAAATGATCATTTTTAATTTTAAGTTTATAGATAGTTTTCTTATTTTATTAATATTCTAATATCTATGATTTTTTTTTTTTTAGGCATACTATAGCAGATTTAATCTACTAATCCAATCATGAAGGTTCTTTATGATCATCACATAATTATGTGTTATGAATAATTTAGAATAATCATTTCTTATTTCAAGTTTATAAATAGTTTTCTTATTTTATTAATATTCTAATATCTATAATTCTTTTTTTTTTAGGCATACTACAGCAGATTCAAATCTACTAATCCAATCGTGAAGGTCCTTCATGATCATTACATAATTATATATTATAGGTAATATTAGATTTGAAAAAACTGAATAGGAACTAGTCTTTAAACCAGTCTTATTATTAATCAGTCTGGATCAGTCCTCATGAATAATTAAAATAGCTAATTAAAAATATAATACATAATCTTTTATTTTCAACTGTCGATATTACATGATTTGAGACTGAAAACCATTAATAAACTGGTCTTTTATATAACATGAAATATAAGCATTTTTAATTTTTCAAGTCTAAGTTACAAATCACGAAACACAATATTTTTTCACTATGATTATATAACCACATTTATCAGATAATAGATATGGTAATATATTTAGTATAAATCAAGAGAGTAGGAAATATGCTACAAGATGAAATTGCAGATCATATGGGTGGTGTCACAAATATTCAAAATACGTAATATACAATATTGATATGTATAGAGTTAAAATTATAGTGATAGCAAATACTAATTTGTTGCTACAGTTGGCACTACTCACATGACCTGTAAAATCAATAGCTGCCTTAGTCATGTCTAATCTAATACAAAATATAAATATAACTGCATCATGATTTACATCACTGTAATTTTGAATAATCTGTGAAATACGATAGATAAAAATGTGATATTAAAGAGAAAATGTGACTTCAATCATATAAATTTTATATAATTAAATCACATATAATTAACAATTAAGTCAATTATAAATATAATTTTAGTTTGATACATATGATTTTTTTATCAATAAATTAAAGGGTAACAATTCAATATTATATAAATACTATATATATATAATTATATGTATGTATCTATTTACTTTTTAAATTATTTTATATGTATTTATGTATATCAATCATATATTGTTTGTTACAAAATTTGGTATTCATTTTGAAGATAACTTTGAGAATACAATTTAGGATCAATTTAAGACCAATTCCGTAAATCTGCCAATATGTTCTGATTTATTTTTTTAATAGTTTGAAATATTGCTAAGTAATAAAAATATATAATGTCTAAAAGATTTATTTATATAGTCCAGAGTTATTGCATTAAAGTAAAAAATAAGTGATAGCAATTATTATCCAACTAGTAATATTGACTCTTTTTACTTTTATTAATTACTATTGTATTGTTTTTTAAAAATTTAATGTTTTATATTATTATTTATTTCTTTTTTATCATCATATTGAAGAACTATTAACTGATTAATACTATCAATAATCAATAAAGACTTAATAGTCTTAATTAATAATTGATAGTAAAATATATTTTATATTTTAAAGTATTATTATAAAATTTTTTTTAAACATTATATAAGAAATAGTAGTATTATTAAGAAATTTTTTTCTAGTCTTTGTTAATAATGAAAGTAGTAAAATATTCAAATTTGAAAATTTGTTAAAAAGCTTTATAATAGCATTATCTACTAAATTTGAAAGATAATATATATTAATTAAATTTTAAATATATAATATGCATTATTCACTATCTGCTGAATTTAAAAGTTAATATATATTAATTAATTTTATAAACTTGTAATATGCATTATTAGGTTACTTAATAGTTTGTAAATAATATAAGTTATTAAAAGCATCATTAAATAAAGTTTCTTTATAGTTATTAAAAACACTTTATATTGCTTCAGATAAAACAGCATCTATTAAGGCATTTATATAGATACTTTTATTAAACATGTTTTAAAGTATTTTATTTTTTACAAAAAGAAACATATTATTTGTTGAAAGTGGTTTCATTTCTATAAAAGAAAACTTGTTTAAACTTAATACAGATCAAAGTGAAATTAAAATATTTTTGCTCTAAACAAAAATAATTGTTATATATTAATTATATCTAAATTAGTAATCTAACTATATATTTCAAAATTTGTACAATACTATTTACACTCTCTCCTGCAGATCCTTCGACCAAAATCGTCAAGAAGCAAAATAAGAAATAACACAGAAACACACTAAAAAACA